GTGTAGTCGACACGCGATAGAGTCACAGTAGTATAAGTCAATTCTTGGTCAGACGATACGAATAGCGACACACTTTAAGGATGTATTGGCTATACAGTTAATCCCAAAAGTTTATGTACTTAAGAAAACCGAATTTTTTTTTCTCAAAATTTCTAAAAATGCTTTAAATACAAGTTGTTTGTCTTTTAACTTCGATACTTAACGAGTTAAGTACGATTAATTGGCATTTTATAGGTTTTGAGAAAATCCGACCATTCCACCGTCCTACCTATAATAACAAATTCAACATGCTAGCATAGTTTAAGTGTATAGCCTATACATCCTTAATTATTGAAGCGACTTACCGATCACGATTTTTCCCCGTTTCTGCTATACGTAAATTTTCTCTGAACGTACGAATATTTCACACAGGACGAAAACAAAGCCGGGTTTAAAATACAAGCATCGACCTGGTTACAAAACTTGCAAATCAACGAGGCTCGGACTCTGATTCTTCTGATTCAGAATCCCGCGTTAAATTGAAATAGAAAAAAAAAAGAGGGAAGAACAGGTGAAAACGGGATAAAAGAACGAGCGGAGAGGGACGATAATTGCGCGAGCGTACGAACAGAAATCAATCGGTCGACGACGAGGGAAATCAATGACCCCGCGGGGATAAATAACGCGTGAACAACGTTGCTTCATAGGCGCTTTCGTGGGTACATCGTCGTTCAAAAGTAGGTGCACATCTGTCAGTTCCATCTGATCAAAATCACTATTAAATGATTATTATTGTCAGATAACATTTAATAGTATAGCTAGAAATCCTGGAATTATCAAATTGATTTAATTACTATAATCTAGTCATTTATTCTAATCCGTCGCTCGTGGAGAGTCCGAAATATCATGAATTAGACATGGAGTAGAATTATACTGCTTTATGGCTAATAAAATATAATTAAAACAGAGGCAGCGTTGGTATTTAATTTTTGATGGAATGGTTAGGCCAGAGCTGGAGAATCTTTTTACTACTAGAGGCCACATTCAAATGAGGCTATAATAAAAGAGGCCACTATAATTTTTTATATTTCACCGTTGGTA